TTAAAATATACTGCACATTGATCCAAGGTAATATTTTGTAAGACTGGCAAACATAACATTTGAATTAACTTATCTGATTGTATTATTATAAGGCTTATTTTCCACTTTAAAATATATCATTAAAAATGTGTGTGTGTAACATATACATATTCCTCACAATATCCTTGACAGATAGTCCCTGAGCTTTAATTCTCACACTTGTAATTAATTAAGGTTCTTTTGTTTCAGACAAGAAAAACTCTGACTTAAAGAATTGATTGGAGACACACTGGGTTCCTCATATCAAATACATGGAAGTCGCAGAACATGATCAAACGTAAGGTGCCGTGTAAGGACCATGGCCTCCCCAGGACTATGTGGGCTTGAAGTTCAAATTTCAGCAATGGAGTGTCCGGTTAGCCTGGTTTGGATTGCATGGTTGCCTCTTGCCTAGGAGAGGCCAGGGCACTTTAGATCAAACTGGGTCCAATGAGGAAAATAACTTTCCTAAAGGATACATTGGTGCTATTCCAAAACAAAAACAAACAAAAACAAAGGAAATGGATGTTTGGAAACCAAGAAACAAGTCTCTCAAACTCATTTTCTTCTACTTCAGCAGAGCCAGATTTGCCTGCACAGGTGTCTCGGAGTGACGGGGGGTGGGTGTCTCATTTTTTAAAAAAGATTTATTCGTTTGTTTTAGGTGGGGTGGGGGCAAGGCAGAGGCAGAGGGAGAGAGTCCCAAGCAGACTCCGCGCTCAGCGCCACCGAGAGCCCCACTTGATCTTACGACCCTGAGGCCACGACCCCAGCTGAAACCAAGAGTCAGAAGCTTAACGGACTGCGCCGCCCAGGCGCCCTTGGAGGGTCTCATTCTTACTCTTGCCAGCCGTGTGTGTGTCTGTGGTTGACTGAGGTGGGTCATCAAACTTCGGCTGCAGATAGGAGAGAGAGGGGAGCCATGAGGTTCCCCCACAGATGTGCAAATTAAATTGCTAGTCCATCTAAGCACACTCCTACCAGGCAAGAGCAGACTCAGGAAAATTAGTTACTAAGATGGATTCTTTCAGCAAATTAAAGCTCGGTAATAAGTTAAGCACATCCGGGAAGCCCCAAGGGTTGGGTTTAGTTTACCAAATAGTATCTCCTGAGTCCCATAAATTGTGCTCCTCCTTCTAATATTGGAATGGAATAAAATCAGAGGAGAGCAGGGAAAAACGATTTTATAATTTAAATTTATATTTATTTATTTATTTATTTATTAAAGATTTTATTTATTTATTTGAGAGAGAGAGAATGAGAGAGAGCGAGTACATGAGAGGGGGGAGGGTCAGAGGGAGAAGCAGACTCCCCGCCGAGCAGGGAGCCCGATGCGGGGCTCGATCCAGGGACTCCAGGATCATGGCCTGAGCCGAAAGCAGTCGCTTAACCAACTGAGCCACCCAGGCGCCCTTAAAATAATTTGTGCAATACACAAATTAGTGAAATTCACACATTCCCATAAACATTAAAAGTCTCACAATACTCAGCAATTACTGGCAAATTATTTGGTTCTAGATCTCAACATTATTGCTTCCTGTAGGAGGCTTAGGATGGAGTTTGTCAGTATTCTTGGCAATATATTATACATACAGGGATTTGAGGCAACATAAAAAAATTAGCTTTATCATGCAAAATTTCCCATTTGACTAAACCTACCCAGTCACAAATGGAGAAAATGAAGACCTATAGGTAAGAAGGTAGAGGCAGGGTATGTGGAGTGCGTGATACATGTGCATGTGTGGGGAATGTCTGTGTGGTGTGTCTGTATTTTGTCTCTGTGCGTGGGTGGCATATATGTGTATGTGGTGTGTGTATATGGTATGTGTGGTGTGAGTGTAGAGCGAGTGTGTGGGTGTGTGATTTGTGTGTGCTGGTAGAAGTTTCCTTTACTACAGAATCACAGACACTGAGAGTATAATTGTTCCCCCAGAATACCTTTCTTCCTTGGGCCAAAATACTGATGGGAGTGGAGAGGGAGGTATGTAAGAAGGAAATGAAGCAAGAGAAATTATTTCTAAAATTATTAAAAATTATAGCAAATATTTTCTTTTCTTTTGAGCTGTATAATTGGAGCTTAGGCAATTTTGAGGCAGGGAAGGGAGGATCGTAGTGTAGCTGAAACAGCAATGCAACTGATTCTATATCTCCTTCGGATCTAATATTGTTGGGGTCCCCGGGAAGATGGAAATAAAAATGGCAAAAATGAAAAGGGGGCAGAAGGACCCCCCAAACTGGGGAGAATAAAAGTTGCTAAATGGCTCTGCCTTCCCCTCCAAATATGGAGTCAACCAAAAATAGTGCACAGAGAACAGGGCACAGTGTGTGATGTTTGGTGCTGCCTAGACATTTTTGAAAATAATGGGTATTCATTTAACAATTGTTGTGCTGACTTAAGCAGCACATATACTAAAATTGGAATGATACAGAGAAAATTAGCATGGCCCCTGAGCAAGGATGACACACAAATTGGTGAAGTGTCCCATATTTAAAAAAAAAAAAAAATTAATAAAAAATTGTTAAATCGAATTATTGAGTTGGGAGGTCATATGTCTTTTAGATTTGATTTCACTTGTGACTGAGCTACATTAAAAGTATTGATACATGAAAGTGACCATTTAGACCCATACTTCTACCATGTAATGCACTTGAACATTAAATGCTAGAGCTCAGTAAATAAACTAAAGAAAATTACCTGGAAGTCTGTTCATGCTTCATATTAGCAATTTAGTCCGAAATATCCTTTTTGTCGGAAAAATGGGGTCAACAAACTCCCAGACCTAACCACACCCGAAGGAAGGTTTTCTTTTTGACTTCATGTCACAACCAAGACAAGGTGAATATACCTTTTTATTCATGTGATACCTTCAAGGTCAAATTCTCCATGATCATCAAAAACTTAAAATGTGCCCTCATGTTCCATTTCCTGGATAAAAGAGACTGTGTGGTATGACTTCCTCTCCTTTCAAAGGACACAGCTGTCCCTCACGTAATTTCCAAAAATTGTGTATGATAATGAAGCAAGTGTCACAGCTGAGGATGACCCTTATCATGGGCTGAGACAGAAGCCCCCAAACAAATGATTTGGGGAGAGGGACACAGGAGGGACTGGCTGGCTCTTGGGCCAGGGCTGTAGAAATCTGTCTTCTTGTAGAAATTCTGTCTTTTGTTGCACTCTGAGCAAGGGGTCCCCTTCCCACATTTGCAGTCACCCACTGGGAATTCAAATTAAATTAGGTCCCACTTAAATTGGAGTTTTTCCCATTACATTAGCATTTGCATAATCTTGCCAATGTTTGCCAACTTGCTAATTAATAATAGGATGACTTCAATAATAGTAGTATGGTTAAATCATGTTTTATTGCTGTTCGATTTACCTAGAATGAGTCTATCAAAGGGTACGTCTTGTATGTATGTTCAGTTTTTATGCCAATAGGTACATCTCAGTTGGCAAACTTAATCCACCACTAAAAGTTGTTATTGCAATGACTTCTCCACGAATCTGAGGAAATGGAAATTAAAAAAAAAAAAAAAAAAAAAGCATCGAGGAAACTGACTTGTAAACCCCATTGTTTTTCTGATTCACTTATGCTGAAGTATTGCTCAAGAATGATTTGTCTCTTTAATAAGTAGCAGCAAAAACAAAGCTTTAGAGAATTAACGTAAGAGAAGGATAATTCTTTCTCAGGAATTATCTTCCCAGTAGCCAGACCGAGGCTGAAAGTATTTAACTTTCTAAGGCTGGTTCACCTTCCCATTACACAAAGCTGCAAGTACGTTCAGAAGTTGAAAAAAAGGAGAGTCTGAGCTGGAATTAAGTAGTATAACTTCTGGAAGCTGGAGCCAGATAGTTTTAGCAGTATGTTGGATTGTTTTTTTGACAGCAATATGACAGCTTTGTTTTATTCTATTTCTTTAGGTGCTTCTAGGATTACAGATATTCATGGATCTCACCCTCCTGCTATACATCTCCTCACATAGAGGACCTCCAGTTGGTCCTAGCAGAAACCTTATTAAATGGATGAACGTAATACTTTTAAATCTGCTTAGTCTTTAGACATCTGTCATGCCACTGTATAATTTAATTGCAATAGAATTTGGATACATTCACTTTTCCTCTCATAGGTTTGAGAAGTCAGACGTGTTATTCATCAATAATTACTCAAATCCATGGGAAGAAAAAACAGATTTCACCCCAAATCCATGTGTCTCTGAACTACTACTATAAGTACATATGAACACAGCGAAGCCATCATCATCACAGTAGGGTTTTATCTTTCATAATCTATCCCACCAAAAAAAAAAGGAGGCTCACAATTTCTCCCCACCTTAAAGGAAGGATCTGTTGAAAGCATAGTTTCGAGGTTACCGTTTTATTCAGATTGAACCATTCATTTAGTTTAAGGACGTCTATACACGTCTTCAGTCCTATTCCTAGGTTCACCAAGGTCAACAATGACGAACACAGTATCTAGTCAAGCTGGCTAAAGAACCAAGCCCTACGAAAACAATAGGAGCAATGTTACAAATTTACAACTGCAGGAACTTTTCCCCCAGGGAATATATTTTTCAATCAACAGAGAACATCACTGTACCAAAAGTGGAGTTGCTGAAATCATGAAATCAGTCTCTGTAAATCCAGCAGCCATATGCTGAAGAGAGTTTCAAAGAATGGCCCATAATCCATCTGCCACATCTCATTTCGAGGAAACTGGACGTTGCGTTTGGTTGTGTAATGCTGGCTTCTCAGACTTGATTGGGATCTTAGCTGCCCCAAGTCTTTTCCTCTCTCCGTGCCAAAGGGAAACACTACTGTGCACAAATCATGGAGTAGATGACGTGCAGTTGTGCAGACACAAGCTACCAGTAAAAAGAAAAATGAGGGCCCTCAGCCAAGCTCTACCTTTGGCCAGGATGCTCCTCCACTTGTGTGTGCTTCTACTAATTGACTTTCTTTTCTGAGGAGAAACCTATGAAACACAGAAGGAAAATGTTTCAGATTAAAAATTAAAAATTCATTTCTTCTGGCTCGGGGCTAATATAAACTTTGAGGCTGGCAAAAAAAAAAAAAGAAATATTTTAATCATGAGCTTCCACAAGTTTACACTGAAAAATCAAGAGGCGGGAAATGGAGGGTTATTATTTTAAGCATTGACATATGCTTACCACTTTGTGAAATCAGCTGTGGCCTAGTTCTACTCATGCCTGAAGAGGAATATTCTGTACTACTTCTCATCTTTGCTGGCATTTTGGTGGCTCAGGCATTTGCTTAGGAAAGTAAGTCATATATGTTACTATTAGGTTTGGTACTTAGCCCATGGGAAGATAACTGCCACATAAACTACTTTAAGTATGGTGAAGGGTACATTATCATCAAAGTGATAGAAAAGATCGCAGTGCTTAAGATGTGTTCATGTACCATGAAGGCCAATGTGAAAGACATGGTATATTTCAGTAGGACTAAGATAGAATACCACAGATGAGCACTACAGGGAAGACACAATTGAAGAGAGCTACTCATGGTGACTGAAAAAATACATATAAATTTCAAGAAATAAGGTATTTTCCCATTCATGATAACAATTGAGAATATGTTAAATGTTTTATTCTTGCCGCCCTGAATTTGGTATTTCGAATAAACAAACATTTAAACTAACAGTTTCCTTCCAGGCTTAAAAAAAATACTCTTCTAAGAATGGTGGCCATTACACTAAAAAGATACCTAATATGGTAAGAGCATAAATTTGGACCCAGAACCATAATCCACTGGACTTTAGATTTAATCCATTTATGATACCTACCCCTAGATATCTTAAAACTTTAAGAAAAATTAATTCCTTTGTAGTTTTTATAGCACTCTTGTGAAATAGGTATAGAGGTGAGGGTCATTATCCCCATGTTTTAGACGGAGAGAGGGTGTGACCCACGAGAGGATCCATGGCAGAATGGAAATGTGAACAAAAGAAAAAAACAGGTCTTCAGTTTCTTGAAGGGAAGGCGGGGCGTCCCCAAGCAGTGAGTGTGGGAAGAGACGTCTGTCATCAGACTTGTCTCCATGGTTTGAATGGCAGGGCAAGAGAAACGCCACCAGGGAATCGTGGGTTCTCACAGTGCTAGACACAATCTGCTTTGCCTTATTGGTTGGTAAAGAATTCCACTCACTAATTGTGTGCCTTATTATTTATTAATGGTATGCGTTACACTCTATCCCTTTATGTTCACAAGAGTGCACGTTAAGTACTGTGACGCTGAAGTGATCCGAATAGGACCCAGAGATCTTGGTGGCAGAGTCCATGTCTGCCTCTACATCAGGGATCGGCCGAAGCTAGAGTCCTCTATGAGCGGAGGGTGCACCAGTGCAGCAGACAGGTTCGAAGGGGACTCTCCGCTCCACATGCCCACTCACCTCAGAACGGGTATGCTCACGCATCAACAGTACAGAAACGTACGTAAGTAAACATTCTTCCCAGTTGGGATGCAATATCCAATAGAAACCTCATTTCCCAACAGATTTTTATTTTCCATTTAAGAGAAATAGTGCAATTTTATTCACCTAATGGAATTGTGACTAGTCTAGCCTTATTGTGTGCATTTTTCTCATCTAGGCTCTATCTATCCACCTACCTACCTATATCTATCTATGTAGAATGTTAATCAGAATGTTTAGTCTTTGCTTATAAATTGATGTCTGCATAGGAATATATTTACCACCTATATTTTCATATGGTCCTGGACATATAAATATACATTTACACTTTATTTAATATTCCCTTAGCAAAATCACTTAGTTTACCAATAAGCCGACCTTTACAGCATTATAAGGTGAGGATGCATTTCTCCTGCAATTCTTCTCTATAAATCCAGAAATAGACATAAAACTATCTGTCTCTAAATTTTGATTAATATTTTTATTAACTGCTGGTGAGATAAGTAATGTATTTTATAAAAGAAAAATATTCTTAATATTTTATCCATCTGTATTGAAAATCACACAAGTATAGTCTCTAAGTTTCTTCTGTTTCTTACATCTCTTAAGTAACTTCTACTATTTATACTGACTCCTACATCTCTTCATACTACTGAAAAAAATCCAACTAAGCCAGCCATTTTACCAAACTAAAATGATCTGTAATGTTCAGTTATAAAGACAATTATAAAAAGATGCAAACTGAGAAATAAAGATTCTGGCTTTCAGGAGAGGGCCATTAGAATTTATTTAAATAAAATACATCCAAATGATGACACTATTATATATATATTTTTAAAGATTTTATTTATTTATTTGACAGAGAGAGACACAGCAAGAGAGGGAACACAAGCAGGGGCAGTGGGAGAGGGAGAAGCAGGCTTCCCGCAGAGCGGGGAGCCCGATGCGGGGCTCGATCCCAGGACCCTGGGATCATGACCTGAGCCGAAGGCAGACGCTTAACGACTGAGCCACCCAGGCGCCCCGACACTATTATATTTTAATATGTAGCCTGGGCTTGTCCATATTGCTTGGTGGTTACAGTGTGGGCTTTGGAGGTAGACTGCCCAGCTTGTCTATGTCCTAGCCAATAACCAGCTATGTGGACTTGGACAAGTGACATGATCTCTTTGTTCCTTGGCTTCCACAATTTTAAAACAGGAACAACAATAGTACTCACTTCATAGAGTTGCTATAAAAGGTTTTGATGAGATAATATATAAATATATACAGTGCCTAAAATAGTTTCTGGCACAGGGTTAGTGTTATGGGTTGAATTGTGTCCCCCCCAAAAGATATGTGTATGTCTTAACCCCTGGTACCTGTGGATGTGACCTTATTTGGAAATTGGACTTTGCCCATATAATCGGGTTAATATGAGATTATACTAGATTAGCCTCATCCAATATGACTGGAGTCCTTATAAGAAGATGAATATTTGGACACAGACACAGACGAGAGAAGATGGCCAAGTGAAGAGTGAGGCAGAGATTGGAGTTATGCTGCCACAAGCCAAGGAATATCTGGGGCTACTAGAAGCAGGAAGAGGCAAGGAAGGAGACTTCTCTAGAGGCTCTGGAGGGAGCATGACCTGCCAACACCTGGATTTCAGAATTCTAGCCTCCAGAGTGTGAGAGGATAAATTTCTGCTGTTTTAAACCATCTAGTTTTTGGTGCTTTGTTACAGTAGCCCTAGGAAATGAATTCAGTCAGTATTCGGTTAATTAGTTATTACTAGACATTAGTAAAGGCCAATTATAATAGTTAGGCTTTGATCTTCTATATCGTAAAGAAATAATTATGTTTGCTCACAACACAATCTCACATGCCTACATTTCATGTCCTTCCAAATGTGTAAGAATTGAGCTCTAGCTCATTAGACGAAGTTCAACTCTGCACCATATGAAAAATTTGGAAGGTACAGAAGAGACTGGCATGCAATGTAGGTAGAAAACATAGCCTTTTGACATTTCACAAAGGAAGAAACAAAACAACATGTTTTCAAGGTTATACTAACTCAACTATGCCATAATTGTTCTAGAAACATGGAAGTCATTTTGCATCCTATTCTGATAACAGATGAAACAAGATTAAAATGTTCTTCATAAAATCACGTTTCTAAACAGAAACTGTAACCCCTTAACATCTGTGGACTTCGATATATAAAAATGTGATTATTTAGTGCTGTGCAGAGAGAAAGCCAAGTAAGTCTTAAATGTCTTGAAAACCTTTATTTAAATCTTTAATTTTTGAAAGAAGAGTCTATTTCCAACATGTCCGCAAAGCATTCTAAAATAACCAGAGACAGTAACAGAGCAAAACTGGAAATTAGTTGACCCAAAGAGTGTTCAATAGTACTCAGTACCTATTGACTTTAGTCTTTGGTCAGGAAGCCCTTCATTAGGTCCCCACTTTTAGAGGACCCTGCTCTGGCCTTCCTCCAACCACCTTCCTCCCCACTGTGAGTCTGCCTCATTCTAGAACAAGCTCTTGGTACCCACGTACAGACCCCAAAATTCCTGCCCAAGTGACCCTGTTTCTGCTTCTAGGCCTCATGTGGTCCTCTTTCCCAGGCCTAAAGCCAAGGGGTGCTGTTTGTAGCGTAATGAGGGGTACATGGATGAAGTTGGGATGTGCCAACTGGGCTGTACTCAAATTCACACTCAAGATCCCTCCCAGGAGAAAGGTGGGAAGAGAAGGGGATGAGCCACGGCTCAGGTCTTCCTGTGCCATTGTGTCCTGGAACAGAACTGTTTGGAATGTGGGCATTTTAAATGTCACTCTGCCCTTCCAGCTATATTTATCAATAGGAGGATAGACTATAATAGCTTCTATGCTTGATTCATGATGTTTAAATATTGAACCTGAAGTACAGAGCTCTCCATGTATTCTTGCCTCAGGGAATGTTAAAGGAGGATCTAGTGATCATAGCAATTTAACCACTCATTACCCAGTGTACATTTTAAAAATCACAAGGCTACTGCCCTGCAAACACTTCACGTGTAGATGTCAGAGCCACTATTTCAGGTTAGATTACCATGAGAGGAATTATAAAGATGGATACTAGGATCAAACCATAAAGTGCTATATATATTGGGATCAGAAAAGTAAAATTTGTCGGGAGTCATAGGAAAGTAATAAAAACTGAGAATTAGGACAATGTATAAAGCACACATACAGATTAATATTCATTTAATTATCTATATTTCTGAAAAGGTCATTTTCACTAAAATACAAGTATAATACCTCAGTACTTATTATATGAGTAAAATTTATGAGTTTTAAAAATACTTCCTGTTTATAATTTAACAAACACTGAGCCTAATTTTTCCACTCATTTTTTCTTCCATTGTTTGAGTTTGGGTATTTATAGCCCAAAACACAGGGTATGCTGACTAGCAGTATATTCCTGAATAGTGAAAGATAAACATATTAGCCAAATAATAAGTCAGTGAGTAATATCATAACAAAAATGTCTGTATAATAAAAAGATTTCTAAACTCCTATTTAACAATACCACAAAGTTACTTTTAAGAATTCTGAGCAACTGCATTGGACCTACAAATCAAAAAGATCTTTCCAATTAAATGACATAAAAAATAAGAAGAATCACCACTGAAATTAAATAATGGCACATGAGAGATTTTTTTTGATGAGGGTGATCTAAGAGCTTTTGCCAATTTTTATGAACTGGCTTGAACCTTGAGATAGCATCAGCTTTGGAAGCTAGAAGAGCAGAAATAGAAATCAAAAACACGTAGATGTCTGAATAAGGAATTTCTTTCTCCAGTCCCCTGGCCATGATCAGCCCTCTTCCCAGACAAGCCACAGTGAGCTGCAGAGAAGGAAAGGGTTCATATGGCAACATATCCCATCGGTTTCCACTAGGGCTGACCAAGCATGAATTCGTTCATAACATATTTATTACATACTTAATCTTACATAGTACTTTGGCTTTTACCTGTGATATTCAAAATACCAAATGAGTAGCACAAATAACATGTTATGGCCTCACAGGAAGAAAAGATTATTGAGGAATAGGTTTAAGTCATATAATTATCCAAGTTAAATCCCCCATTCTCATTTTATATCTGTCACTGTAGAAAATTCTAATAGAGTGAGAGAGGTAGGTTGTCGAGGGCACTATAGGATGTGATTCAAAGCATAGGTTTTGAAATCCTATTCATCTGGAATCTAATCCCAGGATTAAATTTTACCAACTGTGTTATTTAGGCATGCTACTTAAATTCTCCAAGCCTCAGTTTCCCCATCCATAAAATGGTATAATATAATAAAACCTATTTTATAGCGTTGTTGTGAAGATTAAAACGTCTTAAAAATACTGAGGTTGCTACATAATAGAGGTTTATTTTTTATTGTAATTTTACATCTGTAGACTCTTAGCATGTTTACACACTGTTTCTTCCCAAGCAGACAAAAATCACTATGAAGATCATCACAATTCACTTCTACCTTATGTAATTATTAGCTTCTATTACACTGGTCCAAGAAGAATCTATTAGTGATACATAAATGGCTCTATGACATTACTGAATTCTCTTCTGCATAATTGTATTTTCTAGTGGTTAAACTCCAATTCAGGGAGAAAATATCTTTAATACTCATTCCAGACCAATATAATACGAAGTGGAAAATTATAATTGGGTGGCAGCTCAGCTATTATACAACAATAGATTTCAAAAACACAGACATTATGCAACAATCATTATGGTTAATAGTATGCCTTTCTAATAAAAGTTCTCTACTATGGCTGGAACCCAAGAACTTCATTAAAACCAATGGTTATATTCATAGTGGAAAGAAAAGAAAAAAAGAGTCCTACAGTTTTCTGATAAATACCTAGACATTTTTTTATAGAGTTCTCACTTTTTATCTTTCTTCTCTATAATGCTACTGTAAGCTACGGCCCTCACCACTCTTAGTGCTGCCGTGTACAGCTGTCCAGGTTGTGTATTGTGCGACTCTAGGAGGTTCTACTTTCAAAGACTACCATGAAGAACTTGGACTTGAGAAGTACACGACCTGCAAAACTACATGTGTTATCCCTGGCTTTCTATTTCTACTCCATAATGGGCTCCTTTCGGTAAAAAATAGAATTCTCTGATCTCAGATCAGATCTAAATGAGATCAAGTTTCAAGTATGGCCTGAAATTGGAATATGGCTCATCTTTAGCTTTTCTAGATAGATTAAAATCTCTGGAAATTAACAATGTAGAGTCACAGGTGTGTGTCATATGAGATTTTTAAACATGTAGCAGGCATGGCTGACTTTTGATTATATGTGATGAGAATAAAGGTGGGATTATGGTTATAGCCCAGTTTATACAGCCCATTCCTGAGTGGCCTCATGAGACCACAGAAACAAGCAGTAGAAAGTGTGGCAGATGCTGGAAAGAAGTGGAGAATGGTCAACCAAAGAAAAATACGATAAAAGAGTACTCAGTTGTGAGTACTTGATAGGTGATTTTTTAGTGTTTTTTTCCAGCATACTTAGAGGTGGGTGTTGTGGGCTACCTTGGCCTAAACTTGGAGTCTGACATTTAGTCATTAGGGAACACAGTTCTGAGTCTGGTTTCCTCTGTCTGTCTGCCAGTGACATTTAAAACATCTGTCTAGCAAACTCAACCTGGAACAGTGGATGTGCATCTGCCCTGTGTAGTGGAATCCCAGAGCTTTGCTGTTGTTGTTACAGTATAGCTCCACTTGAAGTTTTCATTTCTAGCCCCAGATGGAATACTGACTCTGAGCCTGAAATGGGAGCAGAAGCCAGAACTGAGATTCCTGCATTTCTGCATTCGAACATTTTCTGTTTCTTAAGGAGTTCAAGTTAACCCCAGGTGCATCAAATTAGAGTTGTGTATGCAACACAACTTTTTAGAAGGCCCTCCCCGAGTACAAATGAATGTATGTTGAGTAAACATCCCCAAAAGACCCCATTAAAATGTAAACATGAAAGAATGCTCAATACAGCTGTGGTCTCACCATTCGCCTTGTGCTGCACATCTGGAGGAAACTGGTCAGGAGCATACCACTGATAGTCTGGCTGTGTGGAACAATACAACATTATTATAGCAATATGGACTTCAAACAAAACTTGGTGGCGTATTAAAAATGTAATTATACTATGTGGCTTTTGTTACGCAGGCAGCACAAAAATCCTTTCTATCCAAACCTGTTGCCAATCTCGCTCATCTCTCTTACCTCCTTCATCACTATACCCATCTCCCAACCCGCCCCCCTCTAAATCCACTCTGTGTTGGCCAGAGTTTCTCCTACTTTGGGGTTGTGACTTTTTTTTTAAAGCAGATGTGTTTTGGATATCTGCAGAAGTATAAACACTTCTGTAAAACTTACTACAGCGCATAAATAAAACAGAGCAGTTTACCATCAATAAATAACTATATTTAAAGCCCTCACACAGGAGGCAACAGAGAGACCAAGAACACAGTGACAAGTTTAATGTTTCGGGGTACAAGGAAAAAATCTAAGCCTTTTGATGCGGACATAGCTTAGAGAGGCTCAGGACGGTGAAGCAGGGTGGATCTTTCCCTTAGTCCTGTTCCTCCGCGGAAACTACTCTCTAGATTGTTCAGAGAGTTTAGACTAGAGAGGCAGTGAGAGGTGAGGGCAGACTAGGATTTTTCTTGTGGGATTGTCTTCTAGGCTTCACCAGTTAAGAACACCTAGATATTGAACATCGGGGAACATGTCAGACAAACTGCTTTGGATTAATCATAAGCTACAGACCCGAAGTTCAAGATACAGTTCCAAGACGAGTACCTCTGTAGTTAACCACTTGGAGCAGAGCAACCCAGCTTCACCTGCCCATGAGGATGGTCTGTCTTCCTGCTCCTAGTGCTCACCCCTGCCTCCTACTTCCCCCCACCGCCCCCGCCCAGACACAGAGAATATAGACCTTTTGTTCTATTAATCAATTACCTCCTGAAAATAACTCTGGGAAAATGTCTCTACCAATGAGCCAGCAGGGAACGTTTTACAGGGCTGCCAGACCACTGAAAGTAGCCTTAAAGTTCAATTATCAGACAAGACACTAAGAAACGCTGCATTTAGTACAGTTTGACCCCACTTTACCCCCACTCAGACACCTAGATTCTTGGCTCCTTTTGGTCCATGAGAAAGCTAAAAGAGGAAATGAGATCACCTCTGTTTTTTATCTCCTCGTTTATTTTTAGATGTCTCAAATAACACGTAGGATAAGTGACGTGAGCCTCAGTTTTAGATTCCAGGAGAGTTGCCAAAAGAAGGCGAATATACTGTAATTTTACAAACACGACTGCTTGTGCTTTAATTCAGGCTTAGAAATAAGCATAAAACACAAAATATTCTTTTTATATGAACTCCGGGAGTGAAATTCTACTGTTATACCAAGATTCTGTTTAACTGAAGACTGCTTGAAAACGTAAGACATTATACATGGCTTGGGATCTTTTTTCAAATCCTTTATTTGGTGATAATTTTACACAGTCTGGACCACCTTACCTCTTATAATTGATCGGGAAAGTTTGATGAGTTTTTTATAGTAGGTGAATTTCTGCTTTCTTTCCATAAATGAGTATTTGAAGAAAATAGTCATTTTTACTTCTAGATAAACTTGCATGACTCATTGGTTTTATCGTTAACCTTTCACAAGACTATTTCTCCAATTCCCCAACCTGTAGGAGCTAACTCCAAAGTAAACTTCTATCTCTTTATGTTTCCCACAACATTAATTTACTCCTACATTCTGAAAGAAAAAAATTTAAGGAATGATAGCTGTGTTTGGGGAGTCCCAGAAATGTTTCCTGTAAAGACCGAAAAGCAAGCAAACAGGTAAAGAAAAAAAGGAAACGGGGCGGGTGAGCAGACAGAAGTGACAACGGGCAACAACACAAAAAGAACCCAATTCTCAGCAGTGTGCTGTGTCACACCAGGGTCAAAGAAGGGATGCTCATTAAATTCTGACAGGTCTCTGCCACCCAAGGAGTCATTACCTCCTCCCTTGGGGAAAGGGCTTTGAGTCACACTCAAATACAAAAGTATGGCAACCAAGAGAGTCATGCTCTCCGTAAGTGCTCTGCTAGGAAAATCCCGGTTAAAATTTCAAGATTCTTTGCATAATTAAAAACACAATACAAACTAAGGGGGAGGGGAGTCGTCTGAGCATTTCCGAAGTGCAGAAAAACGCATAATTCTTTTCCTGTGTAAAGATGCTGTCTATGTAGCCAAAACACAAAGTAGAGACCAGCATCCAGACCGTGGGGGAGGGTGGGAGGAAGAGCGCTATGGAGAAGCGAAGGAAGGATGCTTTGGTTCTGGCTTATTCAGGCTGACTGTCCAAATCAATTCCACTCACAAATAATTGCTCCACTGTTCATTGCATTTTGCCTGGCTAGACACAGCCACAGAGAGCAACTTAAGTGGGTCACTTTTTCTTGGATCCTTTAAGAATATCCTTTTAATTGGAAAATGTCAAAGACTATATTGCACAGATGTAGCCATATCCATAGTAGTTCAGTATAAGTTTACAACTGAAAAAGGCATCTCTCAGACTTGCTACATTCACTTTGCTTCTCTTTACCCACAAAAATGCCCTTTTGGAAGAGTCAGGTATGTCATTTAAAATGGCCCTTATAAAATGTGGTATGTTTGTTCAAGAATTACAGCTCAATTTGATACCGTTCAGTGAATTTATTCATAGCCTTGTGTGTCCTGTGGATGCCGTGTCCCAAAAAGATAATCATAGGGTACATTGACCACTGTAACGCTCTAAATTAAGGGCGGAGATAAAAAGAGGCTCTTTCTGTGGACAATAGTATGTGCCCAAATTACAGAGACAGATAGGGTTTCTACCAAAAAGAAAAAAAAAATGCTAGGACTTATTAGGTAATATAAGCACTTCTTTTTTTTTTTTTTTTTTTAATTCTTATGTTAATAATATAAGCACTTCTGTGTTGAGATGCAAGCTCTTACTTACTGGGAGCTTCTGTTGATCCTGTGCAGCCCCGGGGCCTGCTGGTGCATGTAGATTCCGCAGGTGGGAATTCGAGCCACAGTTACACATCGGGAACATCTGAGGAGGAAAATGTCGGTTCACAGGAAGTGCGTGAAACTGGGGAGTCACACTGACACTTGCTTTATACAACCACAGGTCTGGCTGAAATCTTAAGGTTCAGTCGAACTCTCGCATAATCCCGACTCAACATGGTGGGTGCACGGATGTAGGCTCTGGACTGATAGAGATGAGGCTCACAGGGAAGATTTCACTTAAGGTGAAACTCTAATTAGCCTTTCATGTTGAAGACATCAGAAACACTTAAAAGGTATAGAGTTAACTTTATGTTTCTGAGTTATCTTCACAGAGGGTCTTTGCTTAAGAAGAACCAGCCATTAAGCCATAAAACAAGTTTTAACAAGACTCTTATAGCATAACTGAAGTCCAGAGAGTAAATTAAGAATCAAGAGAAATAATATTAATTCCTGCAGCCTACTAGAGAACCAATGGGACAAAACACTTCAGTGCCCAAGAAGATACTGTATTTTCCCCAAAGAGGCACAAGCCTTTGATGTAATTTTCCACTGTAAATTGTGTAAGCAACTGCAAGAAATACCAAGGATATACTTCCCAGGCGTTCATGGGTCAATGAAGAAATCTCTATTTGCATGAGCACACACTAAGGCATGTGCTATGTGGTACTGGTAACATGTTCTGGAAAGCATGTGTTTTTCATGAGCGTTAGGGCTGACAGGTCTTGGTGGTACCTAAGCATTATCTATCCACTGGCATTTTAGTCCATTATGCAAAGCCTGGGTTGTTCTGGAACATCCGTAGCAGAGCTTGAATACACCTTTAACTGGAACCATGAGGAACTGCTGTAGTCAGGAATAAATGTGGGGCCGGAACTTAAAGTTCCCATTTCAACTATGACCAGAAGATTGGTGAATTTAGGTAAGGAGCAACGTACCTGTTTTAATTGCTTTTCGAGTTTTTCTTTCTCCAGCTGACAAGCTTTTATCTATGGACAAAACAAAGGCATTTGTTTATCGAAAGAGCCCACACGGTTTGTTCTAAAGTTACTCCTGACCCAGCTGTCAGCGACCTGCTCAGAAGCCCCAGGGGTGAAGCACTGATACAGCAGTCACGCCACTGAAAACTGTCACATTTTGGATTTTCCAGACCTGCGTCGGTTCTATCTCGAAACGCCCAAGTGAAGTGTGGAATGTAGAATCGTTCTAAACTGTTATTCCAATTTGTTGAAACGACTGTAATTCTCAGTTTTAGGTTGATATCCTGAGACACAGATATAAATGTAGAGACATGGGAATAGACAGAGACACAAAAACAGCTTCCACTGCTTATTGAATAGAATTGGAATTGGTCAGCTGTACATTCAAGAGCCGTCACCGTAAATGCTAGAAGTTGTACATGCACTTAATCCGTGCCGGACACTGATCTATAGCTTTACATATAATAACTCACCGACTCCTCCCAATGCCTCTATGTGATACTTCAATGTTATTATCCCTATTTTACTGATGAGGACACTGAGACGTGAGATACTGAGGAACTTGTTCAAAGTCACACTGCTGTACTTTATGGCTTCTCCCTATTTAAGGCCCAGCCTCATCTGGCAGAGTCACCCACCGTGAAGTCTTTCAACATCTGACACAACTAGAAAAAGCTGTTTTTGCTTTGACTCATTAGTCACGCTATTGTCATCCCTACACACCCTGTTCCTCATGCCTGTAGGGCATATATCCCCACCGAATGATACGTTCCAAGTCCTGCCTCTCTCCTTCCTTTGTCCTCCCATTTAGCATTATATATTTTCCCTGCGACTTTTTGTAGTCCAATGTGTACTGTGTACAATCAGTTTTCATTATCCGCAGGAGTTACGTTCTGTAAAGTCACCATGAACACTGAAGTAGTGAGAATGGAACCACTGCTCCTTGGGAAATGCAGGGTTAGGTTCCCATGAGCCTCTGGTCAGACCATTTTTGTTGACTGATCAATATAGAATCCTGTTTTATGTGCGTTTCTATTAAAGGCATCTTGTTGAATATAGATTGTTGGCCCATTAACATTGGACTCCTGGCCTATGGCACTCTGTTAATCCCTGAATGAAACTTACCTAACACGTCTTTTCTCTGTAAGGCAGAGCATGGCCTTCCTACCATGAGGTACCTCAGCTCTCTGTTCGGGGGCCATTTTAAGCAATGTAATAACCAACAAAAAGGACAAAAATGAGAAAATGTGGCATGAAATAAACCACGAAAAGGACATTTGTTACAGTCTGAGAGCCGAAACAAGGAGGCAAGGCCTTGTTGGACCTCAACTGGGAACAAGTGTGTAAGGTGACTCAAGTTTTTTTCTGTCTGTACATATTCACAAATGGATTTAGGTGGCACCAATATTGATTCTTGGGATGACAAATACATTTTAGTAAGCAGGTAAATTCACAAATATGGAGTCCCAAAATGATAAGGATAGACTATATATGTCCCCCTTATATTGTGAGTCTTTAACAGCAAGGATCATTCTTTTAGTTCCTTATAGTATATAACAAATGCCTTGCAAAAAGAAAGCATCAAAATTAAGTTACAAGAAACTATATGTGGCATATTAATTATACAACTAACTGACCCTATTTAAAAACTCCTCCTTCCAACAAACTAAAATCATTTGTGAAATACCTGTGAGGCATGACCTGAGCTAGATGTTTTTGTGTAGATTTTTTTCATTTCACCCTGAGAACAACTTTATGAAGTCATGAGGTGGAAACCATCACCCATATTTCACAGGTGAGTATACTGAGAGATTTAGTAACTTATTTTTAGAGACAGAGGTTTTAGAATTATAAGAAATATTTTAGAGACCATCTGGTTCAACTTTGTCATTTTACAGATAAAGGAAAGGAAGCACAGAAAAGTTGGAGAACTTGCTCAGTGTCATCCCTGATTGTCAAAGCAGGCACAGGCACGAAGTTGTTACCCTACTCCTATTCCCAAGAATCTCTAGGTATCTTGCTCTTTACCACACTCCTATTTTACCGGTTGTTGGCTTAAAACATCCTTAGTGATATTATGAATAAACTCTGGTATGTAAGAAACTAGTGCCAGAATGATCTGAGCTAAGAATTCCTTTTTTGGGACCACAGATAACATGATATTCAAATAACATCATGTCCATTCTATTATATCATGGCATTCAATCTGCCGTTAATACATTAAACATGGGTTGTTAAGCCATCTACTATATCTCTTTGTGAGTTCTATCATCTTTTGACCAGAGTGAATGAGACTTTTGAAAAATAAATGTTAGGGGGCACCTGGTTCATTGGTTAAGTGTCTGACTCTTGATTTCGGCTCAGGTCATGATCTCCGGGTCGTGGGATTGAGCCCTGTGTCAGGCTCAGCATCCAGCAGGTAGTCTGCTTGAGATTCTCTCCTTCTTCCTCTACTTCTACCCCTCCCCCCACTTGTGTGTGCCCTAGGACTCTCTCTCCCAAATAAATAAATCTTTAAAAAAATGAAAAATAAATGCTTGAACTATCATTATTTAAAGAAAAATTTTGGTAGTTTTAAGGTATCACCAAGATTATCCCTTAGTTCATTAATACAATTATACCATACTCTATGTAGACAATGCACTGTTTTGTTGATATCAATCAAAAATTAGTTTATAGATGACAGAGAAATGAAAATTACTTGTGGATTATAGTCTCTAATATATTCAGATTGTTATGTGTTCCTCGATGCACTAGAACGTCTACAATGGCAAGAACATTGCCAATCTTAGACACGTATTTATCATCAATCTGAAGTTCATATAGGAGAATGAGCAAATTAAAATATGGCTGAAAGTAAAATAATTAGTGCAGTGACAACTTAGAAGAAATTAAGGGAGCTCTGCATGTAAGACATACAAATTGAGAGTGACTTCCTCACCGAGAGTCATGAGAACATTTTCTCACCCCTTGTTTGTATAAAGTAAGGTGCATGAATTATTTTCAGAAAAGCATTTTTATTATACTTTTGCCACTATTTTATTACTTTTAATTTCTTAGAAAATGGTTCTGCCAAATAATTTTTGCATGTAAAATTAGGAATTTCAAGTGAAACCTTGACAAAATGTCAGAAAAGAAATTAATTTACTGTATACTTTGTATTAGGAAAAAGAGGACGACAAAGTTAAACATTTCTTTTGAGACTAAGAATCCCGCAGCTCCAGAGCTGTCACAGCATGTTCTGCAACAATTTCCTATTTACTGAAAAGCACTGGATGATTTTGCAAATCAAAAATTCTGTGGTTCATTTTCTTTTCTTAAGCCAAAGTTGTGTTAGCTACATTTTCCTCATTAACATCAATATTTACCCATCATGCCACTTCCTGAGTCTACTTCTAATATATCCTATTACATTTAATTGTAATATGCTTACATTTAATATATTCTATTCCAATAAACTAACATTATGTGGCTTCCTTGAGAGTGCTCCAGTTACATTTAATCGGGGAACCCACTGAACAAAATTCTCGGTTTCACTGTATTTTATATATATAAATGACATTTAGAAATATGTATGTTTTTGGAAGACAGGAACATTCCAACATAGCCCTTCAAAGAAAATGACAAGAGTTTAAAAACAACCTCACTATGCTGGAGTGTTTTGGATTTGAATTTTGAGTACTAGGTAGTTCAACTCCCTTTCTACCAAGATAAATACTATGAGAAAAATATCAAAAGAATTGGATTTTATAAAAGACTTTGGAATCCAATTTCTTAGGTAACTCCTTAATAGACTTAAGTTAAGAGAAATCTCCAGTCATTTTCATCTCTTTACAAGATTGTTTAAGAATGATTTCATCCCAGGGGCTTACCTCTCAAAGAAAATCAATGTCAATTAACAGAAGCCAAAGTCTTGAATTTTTTTAACGAAAAATAAAAAAATACATATGTGCTGGCAAAGATTATTTTGTTTCGACTTATACCTGAGAATTCAGCCTGTTCAACTGGGATTGAGAAGTTTGATTAATTTGCTGTAGCTCTTCTTTCTCTTGATTAAGTCTTTCTCGGTCTGATCGCTCCTTTTTGAAGTCTTCTTCATATATTTGCACCTAGGAAATATTGACTTGCTGTTACTGTTAGCATCCTTTTCTCTAAGCCATTAAAATGATTTTAGAAGAGGTGCTATCTGGGCTTGTCCAATCTGAGTAATTCCTATCTTCTTTTCATGACTATTTCTTCATGGTGAGACTCTATCCCATTTGGATCTGGCCATAATTTTCTCTCTCGCTTTGTTTACAATGGCAGTTCTCAACTTTTTCCTCCTTGAGTATGTGTCAGGAATTCAGAAGTAAAGTAACAACATGGATATTTTGGAAAAAAAAATTCTCCTCACCCATTATTCTGCTGCATATTTCCTTACTGTGATGAGCATCCCCCTCCCCACCTTGCCTAGTGTTAAGTATCACTATTTTGGAGCAAGCCATCCATCTCCAACACAAGGCTTTGAAGTAGGAATAGTGCTTGAAGTTCTAAAAGACAGTTTACTGACAATAGCTGTTAAGTGAAGCCGCTAAATATTGGCATGCCAGTTTCCAAATATAAATAGTAAACTGAACACAAAATAGAAATGAAAGGCTCATGTATGTGGAAGAGCAAAGTATGATTGTTAAAAGGTATTCACAACTGGCCCCAGTAATTTTGGGGGTACAAAGTTTTTTAAAAAGTAGTAATATTTTAGTGGAACATCTCTCAAGAAATACTCCACATATTCCAGAAAAGCAATCAAACCAAAAGAAAAACAGATTTAATCATTATTGTTTTTAACTGGCATAGGGTTAACTGATGGCTTGGAGACTAGTAAGGTGGAACTATGAAAATAAATGACGCTTAGGGAATGAGGCAAAGGAATTCCTTTAAGACAATGAGTTAAATTACAACTTCCATGGGAACCTAGTAGCCAGACTTTTGTCTATTAATACTAATGCCCTCTGCACCTTCACCACAAATAATGCAACACATTTTTAACTAGAGGCTTATTAAAGTCAATAATAATAAAACAAAATGTAATAGGCAAAAGAGGATGAAATTAAACATGTTATACAGATCTAGATGCAGATATACACATTTAATTTTTAGGGTTTTATTCACCAGAAGTATTGCAAGGGAACTACACCGAGCTGAGCTGACATTTTGTTTTGGGTTTGGTTTGGGTTAAGATCTGAGGCTCAATTCCAGACATAGTCACACTAATGCTCTATAAACAATTACCGGAGGCATTTGAAATGGGAGAAGCTCATCGGATCAGAACTGAACACTCTTTATCAAACACAACACTGATAGTGATGTCATCACTGCAGTCAGGTGGCCAAGATCTAGCTCAGTTTCTTTGTGAATTGAAATCCTTTAGTGTATCACATGACACTCGGTGATATAGTGATTGTGGGTGTCCAATTAAAAATGTGCACAGTGAAAATGTGTACTCATAAAGTTAGCAAAAGAGCCACGCAACAACTAAGGAGATGGATTCTGGACCTCTTGGGGATAATGAAAAAAAGGATACCTGTCATTGTCTGCATCCAATATGAGCTAAACCATTGCTGTAAACTCTATGCATGTGTAAGAGTGACTCTCTTGCATGTGGGATACATTATATGAGAGCATCAAAGATGACTCAAGTGTCTGAACATAAGAAGTAGTTTTTTTCAGAGGAATCCTGGCTAGTGGCAATGGTACTTTAGGGGTTGAGAATTTGGCAGAACTTTAACACTCCGAATACTACCCTTATTCTCTTCATAGGTTTATTTTTAAACTATGTATTTGAACCTGAATGTAATGAGGCAGATTATTCAAAAGGGGGTTGATAGAAGAGAAGATGCAACTTTACCACCAAATGCTCTGAATTTTCTATCTAGATTCTAGTAGATAGGCTACTTCCTAGGAAGTAATAACAATAAACAACAACTCCAAGAATGTATTTGCTTAATTCTTTGGCGTATTGCATCAAGAATCCCTGGAGTTGGCCTTGCTCAGAGCAAAACAGCCAACAAATCAGTTCCAGGGACATACTTCCCAGCCCTTTGTTCTATCACATCCTCTCCCCCACCACTGATATACTACCAAAAATGTGTGCTTCAGAGATAGGATTCCTATATGTATGCTATATTTATTGACATCGCCATGAACTGTTCCAGCCCTTTACCTTCATTAGTTTATTTAACCTCTTACAGGAAAAGAGATGTGATATGCATGGGTGGCCCCTCAGCTAAGCCAGCTGCAGCTGGCTGAACTAAATTTAGACCCCAATCGGTTAGGCAGTGCTATGTGCCTACAGCCCTCTATTGCTTATCCATGCAGAAGCTTACTCCTTTACTCTCTGTCCACTTGGTGACGTGGGGTTGAGGTTGGGTGAGTGGGGAGGAGGAAGGCCTTGTGCATCAATAAATTGCTAGGTGGTGCCATCCACATGCAGCTGTAGATGAGCAGAGCGGGCTCTTCAGTGATTATGATCAGTGCAGGGTAGTCCCTTATTGCCCTCATTGTTCAAAGGCCTGGAGGCCAGCAGCTACAGAATAACAGCCTGGCTGCTACCATTTTCTGAAAAGGTCCCGGGTTTGGGGTGGTAGTGTTTTCAAAATAAATTGTGTCCACACGAAACTCTCTAGACCAGTGCTAATAAAATCTCACCAAAAGGTTAATTAGGAAGCTCTTCTTCTAACTGTATGACCTGGACAAACCATTTAACCCATTTGAAACTCAAGTCCCCCTTTTATAAAGTGTGAGTTGGGCCAGCTCATCTATATTCTCTTATCAAGCTTTAAAATGAGATAATTCTAATGAAAATAAATGCAAGAACTTTGGACACATTTGAATAGAAAGATTTCCAAAAATGTCCAAAGGAGCATGAACAATGGGCCCTGTGTTCGCCACATGATCGTGCCACTTTCAACTTCTCACCTGCTGTTTGAGAACTTCCATTTCTGTTCGCATCTCCACATGCCTGCACTCCATTTCAGACTCTCCCAAACAGTCCTCAGGAAATGAAGAACACTCGATTTTCAAGGCATCTTGAAGAGCCTATGTTATATGATAAGCACACGGTTGAGCTAAGAGTTAGCACATCTTACGACTTCCTCTATAATTGTTACAGTGATCTCAAATGCCCCCCACAAAACAGAACTCCATTTTTGATGTTACTTCTCAGACTGAATAACTTTTCTTCTTTCTCCTTTTCTAGCATACAGTTTTTCTTCCAGAATCTCTGTCTTTTCTCCGTGACGATGCTTATGTTATTCAACTGTCATTATTATTTAGGAGGGTTTTTTTATATTGATGTCAGGGATCCCCCCCTCCACCAAGTCAACCCTGAAAAGAAAACATATCTGTAGCCTTCCTCCAGATTCTCTGCTTCAGTCAAACACATACTTTATCAATAATGCTCAAACTTTAGAGAGCATCAGAATCACCTGGGGAGGTAGCAAACATGCCCATCCCTGGGCACTGTCCCCAGAGATCCTGAATCAGTAGCTCTGGGAAGAGTGTCTGAGAATCTGCATTCCTCAGAAGCTGATGCTGCTGGTCCCAGATGACATTGTAAGTGACACAGTGTGCTATCCAGCCCTGTCCCGGATAGGAGAGAGGGAAGCCCACGGAAATGCGAACCCAGGCAGATCACTCTTTCTTAGATCTACTGTACTGCTGTCCTTCTGCCCTGTCCTCCTCAGTATACCATGCCCTGGCCTAGCCACAGTCGTATTTATGCTCTAATAAAGCATCCGTTAACTCACTACAGGGTGCAGAGAGTGCTCTGCTTCCTTCCTTTTTCTTTCTTTCTTCCTTTGTTTTTTTCGAGAGAGAGAGCACAAAAGCGTGCAAGATGGGGAGGGCCGGGGAGGGCAGAGAGAGAAGAGAGGGAGACTCTCAAACAGGCTCCAGGCTCAGTGTGGAGCCCGACGCAAGGCTCGATCTCATAACCCTGAGATCATGACCTGAGCCGAAACCAAGAGTCGGAGGCTTTCTTGACGCCCAGTACAACTTAGTGGTTTCACTGTGGGGTAAGGAGGTGAAGGCAACAAGACACACTTAGATTTGCCAATAAGATTACCATCATTATTCACTAGCCCGTGATCTCTTACATTTACTATACTTCACCAGATCATATAAAAGACATCACCTCTATTCTGAAGACCTTGATTCATGATGAGTTCAATAAAATATAATAAAAATTGAGACACAATACGCCTCATCCTGGTGTGGTCTGGGAGCCCACATACAACATGACTACTTGCTCATTATCAAATGAGTCCTTTATACAAACAGAAAAGTTTCACTTTCAGAGCTCCAAGATTTCACTTCCTCTGAATTTCTTTGGTAGCTTCGATGATGTGCCTTTGATGATACTATTAGTAACTTACTTTCCTGCATTACTGGGCCATATGGTTATAAAGTAGGAAAAGAAAAGCAAAATCACTGCTTTAATATGTGTAGACAGGCTAAGAATTTCCTAATAGAATGTCTTTTAACGCTATGGATATTGTCTAGCCTTTGATTGTGAGTATCATTTTTCAGGACGTTGTAAGAGAAACAAGAACTTCTTTCTTCCTCCAACAAGAATTTAAAGAAACAACAAATGTTGTTTAATAATTTATGTTTTGTTACAATTTGTTGCTAAGCTACAGAGTTTTAGGAAGGATCATATTAGTTATAATTTTTAAAAATGTGTTACCAGTAACAGAGAGAATCTAGGATGGGGTGAGCCAAATGAGTTAAGACTTAAATCAAAAATGCTGATTTCATATCCTACCCCTATGAACAGATTATTTTTGTGCGTCTTGTTATATTTGAATTTCCTGGTCTACCTTTCATGCTATTCAGGCTTCCAGAAATTTTGCAAGTGAGTCATAAACGAAAGGTAAGTTTAATCGACATTTATTCCATCTTGGGGTTTTCCAACTTCCTTGAACAAACACCTGTAACCTATTCTAGAATAGTAATTTACTATCAGCACAGGCAAACTAAACAGATCTACCCATCTCACAATGGTGAGATGTTGGACAAATCAATTTTGCCCATGGGTGGCACTGGTTGACTAGCCTCAGGTAATTTTTCTCACTTTGGTTAAACATCTGGCTTCTCTTTAAGAACTCAATGAAAACAATGCCCTTGGGTATTTCCTTCAAAGCAAATAAGTTGAATTGAGTACACATAGTTGTGTGAACTTCTGAAAACCATATGTTAATTACTAAACTGACATGCTACAAATTTCTGCCAAGTGAATGGGTCAGCAGGCGCTCTGCTTGTGCAAGTAGGGTCGGCCCCAAATTCCATGCTGTGATGGATGATATGCACAATCCGCTACCCCAATCAACATTTGGAATAACTTCTATTTATTACAGTGGTACAAAAAGAAAAGAAAAGTCAAGTCTACAGTGTAAAATTGAATAGCAGTATCTTACATTTCTTTAGACACTAATACATGCACTAAATGAGAAAAAAAAAAACTTTTCATAGCTCATCACTTCATATCTATGCTTTTTAAATGACACTTTAAGGTACAGATGTGGCAGAAAAAATCTTTTCTGGCTTGAAGTGCCCTTCTATTTTCATGTTTTTTCACTAGTCATAAGTAATGCAGTATGCCTGCTAAAGCAGGAAACTCAGAGCCAGAATTGGCTATTGAACATATTACGTACTAGATAAATTATTTAATTAATTCATCCATTCAATAAATATTTAAGAACATACTGTGAGCAAGGCTCTGTTGCTGGCATTCAGAACACAGCAGTGAAAAAAAAAACAGAAAAACGTAGGCCACACTATGACTGTTGTATTTTTGAGTCCATGCCTCCAAATAAATACATATTCAAATTGTGTTTTGTAACTGCATTCTTATAAAGATCAATATATTAATATTAATATGAAAACTTTTTTTCAACCTAAAGGTCCATTTTTTCCTCCTGATTTTAAGGGAAATTAAACATATTAATAGGCCACTAGAAGTATCATGAGCCCTCACTACTGTGCCTACTAGTCTAATAGAGAAGTGAGTTCTGCAAAATTCCTACCCTCATGGAGCTTACAATCAAGATCAGGAGACAGGAAACAAATTTGATAATAGGAGACCCTGAACATATGTGAGATAGCAATAAATTCCAAAGAAACATTAAAACAGGAAATATCAGTTAGGATGGCCAGAAAAGTCCTCTGAGAAGGTGACATTTGTATAAAGACTTGAATTTTACTCAAATTAATTGTTCTCATTTCCTCAATTTTATTATAATCACAAGGGTTAAAAAATTTTTACTGACTTTTAAAACATTTCTGTTGGGGCGCCTGGGTGGCTCAGTCGTTAAGCGTCTGCCTTCGGCTCAGGTCATGATCCCAGGGTCCTGGGATCGAGTCCCACATCGGGTTCCCTGCTCGGCAGGAAGCCTGCTTCTCGCTCTCCCACTCCCCCTGCTTGTGTTCCTGCTCTCGCTATCTCTCTCTCTGTCAAATAAATAAATAAAATCTTTAAAAAAAAAAAAACAAAAAAAACACATTTCTGTTGACTATAGATACAGATACACAAAAATGAAGGGTACACATAGACCTGAACAAAAAACAGAGTTCTTGGCTGTTCTGATTTCTACAGGGTTTATATTCTTGTGCCAACATTTACAGAAATGAGTTAGAGAACAGAAGAAAACTTACCAAATAATATATCACAAATGGGAAAGATTTCAAATATAATCTCAACGCTAGTTCCTCTAATTCATCTGTGGAGGATTTCCAACAGAGAATAGAAGGGAAAATTTATTTGCCCTAAATTTGTATCTCTGAACATTGTTTTCCTCTCTTAGAGGATAGAGAAGTACATTGTTTGTGAAGTTAGTCTCTACTTTCCCATTTTCTCCTGATCAGTAACTTGTCTCACAAACAGATCGAATATAGCAGCACATTTGTAAACCATCCTGTCAATTATACAGGCAGAAACTTAACACTTTGGGGATCTTTAAATGATCCTCTGAACACTAACTACAAGATGCACAGTCCAAAATACAGGCACTGAGCACTTTTTCAAGGCCAATCACCTACTCTTATTTTAGAAGGCAATTTCTGTTACTTTGGTCAAGAAATATCTAACTTGAGGGGCGCCTGGGTGGCTCAGTTGGTTGAGCGTCTGCCTTTGGCTCAGGTTATGATCCCAGGGTCTGGGATCAAGCCCCTCATCCAGCTCTCTGCTCATCAGGGAGCCTACTTCTCCTTCTCCCTCTGCCTGCCACTCCCCCTGCTTGTGCTTGCTCGCTCTCTGTCAAATAAATAAAATCTTTAAAAAAAATGAAATAGCTAACTTGAGAGATGAGTATCTTGACTCAAACATGTACTATAAGTATTCCTATGGTCCACATCTGATGTGGCTCTCTGAAAAATCAACAGCAAAGGATTTGTTTCCTTGAACAAGTCAGCAATCCCTTCCCCAGGAAAATTAAGCTATTAGTCTACAAAACTCTCTCTCTCTCTCTCTCTCTCACACACACACACACACACACACACACAAACACAAATGCACACTCTCTCTAGTCATCTTTTGGCAGCAATTCATAGGTGGCCCCTTAGAATAGCTAAGTTGAAGCAAAGGAACCACTTGTGTTTTTCTAACAGACTTACCTCTCCAAACGCACCCCCCCAGACCCCACACCCCAATTAAAAGTGAGTTTTAGGCTTATTCTCTGGAAGGCCACCATCTCAGCCTTGGGTTTGGCATTTAGCAAGATTCCATACAGCCTGCATCACAGCCAGTTCCATAGTGATGGTTTTAAAGAGCAGCCTGTTTCCTCAGGAAACTTTTGCGGTTGACCAAGAGGTATGCTATTGTTCACAAACACCCACTTGCTATATGTGGTTCTTCGAACTAAAAAAAAAAAAAAAAAAAAGTTCTTTCTGTCTTCTAAAATTTCTCCTCGTTTCTCTTTTTAATGATGATTCTTTGCAGGGACACTAATTCCTGAAAGCCTCCTCAGTCAAGTATGGCTAAAAGATGCAGATGGGAGTGATTGATAAAATTACAGAGAAGCTCCTGTGCAAGCTCCCAAGACTAGGAGCAACACTGCAGCATAGATTTGGTTGTGACTCTCAGGTAGGAACGTGCTCTTTAAATTTTTTTTTTTTTTTTAAGATTCTATTTATTTGAGAGAGAGAATGAGAGACAGAGAGCATGAGAGAAAGGAGGGTCAGAGGGAGAAGCAGGGAGCTGAGCAGGGAGCCCGATGTGGGACTCTATCCTGGGACTCCAGGATCATGACCTGAGCCGAAGGCAGTCACTTAACCAACTGAGCCGCCCAGGCGCCCCGGAACATGCTCTTTATACAGGGACCTCTCCTTCCACCTCCCCAGCTTGACCTGGCTGATACCTTATTGAGGCGTTTTATTTCACATTCATAATGTTCCTTCTTTTTGTTCACAAGAGCATTTTTTTCCTTCAAATACTTATTTTCTTTCTTCAATTCATGTAATTCTTCATTTAGGCTCTCCTTTTCCTTCTGGAGTAAACAGCAAGAAAACAAAATCGAAATCAATAAAATTCAGATGACATAATATTGTAGGAATACTTCTGAAATGCAACAAAAACAGGACCTGCTAGATTTCCTTTAATGCTCCATTTAAGCAAGATTCTCTAGGTGGAGGACAGGGTTCAGATTGAGAAAATCTTTCTTTAATCCTTAGTGCTACTAAGTTTTATGATGCCGGAAAAAGCTCAAAATGCCCAATCCTCACTTTCAAGGGTCAAATGGGTCCACAGAAGAAGCTAGTTCCATGTACTATTACAAAGTGATAGATAAGTGACTTAGTAAAAGTAATTAAACTTCTAAAAAGTATCATTGCAACAAAAAATGCAAAATATCTCAAAACCCAATCCTGCCTGCATCATTCTGGACTGAAGAGAGGGAGAAGAGGATAAAACGTCAGGCAAAAAAGAGCCTTCACTACAGATAATTATTCAGAGCACCATATTGCTGTGATTATTACTTTTAAAAGGCAGAGACCAAAAAAAGAAAAAAAAAGGTAGAGATCAATTAGTCCAACTGCCATCACCCCCTCCATGTTCCAGATAACCTTCAGGATGTCCTGTGTTTTAAATTACTGAAGCAAGTTTAGTTGCTTTGACACTAATGGGCTCTGGATTTAGACATCTGTCTTCTAATTCTTAATTTGTATTTTAAATAGTAAATTTTTTGTGGAGTGAATTGGACTCTTAATGGCATTCAGATTTTAACCTAATAAAATAAATATTACAGAATTTAGGTAAATCAAGATGAGAAATTAGCTAATATATATGTTAAAGTATGTTCTTTTAGTGATTAATATTTCCCAATAATTAGATTTAAGATATCTACTTTAGGTGATTTGTTTTTGTTTTTTTTAAGTGAGAACATTTCTATTTGCTTTTCCTTAGAATGAGCTCATATTTTGTTGGAACAATTGCCATGATTTCTGGTCAGGGTCTAAATGGAAAAGGAAGGGACTGCTCCAGGACCAGAAGGAGTTGTTAAACCTTGTTTGTTTTCCTCTGACTCACTGAGACACAGATACCCTTCACGAAATAAGAAAACCTACAGTGAGACCGTTGGCACTGATTTTAGACATTGCTTTAGGATTGGTGCATGAGTTAAAATACAGTCAATGGCTCACAATATCAGTCACAAGACTTCACCTGAGAATATTTACAGTTCTTGTTTTTTCTTAACATACGTAAAAAAAAAATGAGAGTCCATTAGAGCGTAAGGTTTTTCCCCCATTTTCTATAATATCCATTAAACCCCGTAACTAAGAGTAAAACCAAGAGTATTTTAGAAGTCTGTCGCCTTCAAGACCACCATCTCGCTCTCAGCGGGGATTAATGAGACTTAGTATCTGGAAACGGGTGTTCAAGTCCCATCTTCCCAGGTACTCGGTTGGCAAGGTCGACAAGTTATGCAGCCTCTTCACATCTCAGCTTTCTTACCTTTACAATGACAAAAATAATATTTTCCTCACAGACAGGAGGAGCTTGTTAAATGAGATAATGAGGGTGAGGCCGTTTTTAAAACGGTTTATTTTTATGATGATAAAAGCAATGCCTCTTGGCAAAACTCTGTGAGCTGAAAAGCAGCTGTACGAATACAAGGCACTGTCCTATTATTATTAACACTAGTAATAAAATAATATAGAGGAGTAATCTTCTAGGCTAGAAACGCGCTAGAAAGACAGCTCCGAATCTCCGGATCAGCTCTCTCTGCCGGTGCAGCCTGGCACACGAACGCATGCTCGTGTGGCCGACAAAGCAGGAAGCGAGCAGGCCACGTGCCCCGTTCGGATCGCGGGGAGCCGGCCCTGCTCGGGGGCGCGGCGGCTGGGGGCGCGGGGGCTCGGGGGCCGCGCGCACGGGTGTGGGGGCGGCTGCTCAGGGCGGCGGCGCCGGGCCGGTCGGCTCCGCGAGCCCCGCCCACCTCCTGGCGCTGCAGCCGCTCGCGGGTCCGGTCGCGCAGCCGCTCGCTCGCGCTCTGACTCTGCTGGCGCTCCTTCTCCTGCGTGCTGAGGACTCTTTCTGCGGCGTCCAGTTTCGTTTTCAGCTCGGCGACCTGAGGAAGTCGTTCACTGAGAGCTGCGGAAACCTATTCTGAAATTCACAGCCCCCGCCCCCCGCCCGGATTTAGTCCCACCCCGTGCACTCGGCGACAGTCACGCCCCACTCCTGGGCGGGCCCCTGACGAGAGGTTCTACTTCCCACCCCTCTTCGCCAAGATCCGGACAAGTGCGTTTAAAAAAAGGGCTTCCTCTACGGGGAAAAGCAAACCCCCGAAACCGCCTTCAGCCCCTTCCCTCCTTTCTCCGAACCACACCACTTCCGAGGGACTAAAGATTTAGACCTTAGACTGGGGGGGGGGGGGGGGGGGGGGGCACTTTCGGGCCTGTCATTCTTCCTAACTCTCAAAATGTGTCTTTTCCTGACCTGAAAAGAGCCGCAGCGAGGGGTAGGGGGTAAGTGAATATGTCTGCACCAGAGAAAAACAGACATGGCTTTTAACTTATCAATAATGTGCAATGTTTGACCCGCTACGAAATGCCAGATTAGTCCTCAGAGTGACGCCGGTCCAGTTGAGAAGCCTTAGAAAAGGGTGTCTCATCAAGGATGCCCGTTGTTAACCCCAGGTCTTCACACACCTGTGAGCCTTTCTTCCTGAGCATCTTAAACATTTTCTCTGGGACCATGTTCTTTAAAATTTGGAGACGCAAAGCCTACCCCAGACTGAATATAACAGGGTGGCCTGACCATGGCCTGATCTAGTAGGAACATTCTCCTGCATTAACAAAATTTAAAACTTCTGCCTATCAAAATGGGGAAGAAAAGAGCAATACTGCTACGTTACTCACTTGTGGTCAGGTTTCTTAATTCTGAATTATTTAGGGGAATTTACTTTCTCCTTTTCCTCTTTTTGAACATAGAATAGTTTACAATGATAAATTGACTTTTACCTATTAAAAGGTATTCTCTCCAAAAAGTTTCTCACCAAAGCAAAAGATTCTTTGACAGAGAACATACTTTTTTTGGTGGGGGGGGGGGGGGGTGCGCCACTTCCCCTCATACTTTCACTGTTACCATTGTTTATTTCTTTATCTGCGGAAATAGCTTATGCTATCTAATTGAAGAATTAGAGAACTAGCCTAGCATAAAACAGTATGAACTTTAAACGATCTCTCACCTCACATATAACCTTGTGTGTTCATGGCTGCTAGTAACAGAGCCAAAGCCAGGATATTCTGTGAGCTATGATAAATGTGTGCATAAGAACTCTAGAGACAGCTCGGGAGGCTATTTTTAGTACCCTTTTTTTTTTTTTTTTTTTTTTGCCATGCTCAAGATAATTCACTGATATCCTTCATAAATCTTCAGTACCAAGGGGCCAATAATACACTCAGCACCTTCCCCACACCCCCATCATTTTTCAGCAGTTGGCTATCCACAGATCTCCTTCAGCAGAAGTCAGTGAGAATCTTCACAGACTTTGTCCCCCAGCTTATTGATCGAAAGCAAATACTAAATAGAGAGGTGTTTACCTTTCTTTCATATAACTCTTTCATACTTCTAAATTGCTGATCCCATTGCTGGTTAACTTCCAGGAGCTGAAATTATTAAAATTTGGTAAATCAGTATGGATTTTTTGCCCATTTGGAAATTTGGCCAAAATGAAATCACTTTTGGGGTTACTAAGATCTTACAAGCCATGGGTGAAGACAATATGCCTTTTGCCAAGTACTGGTAAGGCTGGGATGATTTAATTGAGTACACTTTTCCCATTTTCGTAACTGTCTCATATATGAGAAGCTATTAAGTCTTCGGTATATCTTGACTAGTCAGCTGAACAATTTATTAGCAACTTTCAATTCTGCTTAGTTATTTGAATTTTCATCTTTGTTTAACCCAATCAAAATCCAGTAAAAATTTGTGAGTATTGATGGTTTTCTGTAAGATTTATTAATATATGAAGCGTCTTTTTTCAAACCTTTCCATATTTTTCTATGTGCTTACATTATTTAATATAATGAAATATTTCTTCTAGCTTTTTAAAAGCAGAATTTATATTAACAAATTCCAAATCACAATAACTGATCACCAAGAGCTTGCAATATAGTGCTTCTTAAAATCAATGCATGATTTGTAATGTATACTCAATGAATGGATAATATCACCTTTTTCAAAGTATAGATTTTCAAGGAATAATAGTTTTACCATAAGGCAATATTTAGAAATAATTTAGCCTGCAATTTGAAAGCTTTAAAATTATGTGCTAGATAAAAGGAAGAAAAAACACTATGACCTGTGTTTTAGTTTTCTTGTAAGGGAAGTCTGTAACTTCCTACATTAAGAGAAATTCCAACACTTTCAATATGGGACAGAGATCAAGAAGATAGTCACAATGACTAAAAGGAAGCAAGATATTCTCCTAATTATAAAACAAAATATCTAATCCAGACAGGCAGTCACTAGGTAAATCTTATGCTGGAAATAGATATGGGTATTTAGTATAGACTATATAATATTACTATATAAGGATATCTGATCTGTTGGCATTTAAGGATTAACATTTCTATGCTATGGTGACATTACTCTGCTATCGTTCAGTAATTTTCCAGAAGGGCACAATATTTTATGCAGTATCAACGAGGAGTAGAAGGCACCATTGAGAAGACATGAAGGATATAACCTGTATAGTGGTTTAGAAAAGTAATTTAAAAATTGATAACATACACAGTGCTAAAATTGTTACACTTTTCACCTCTTCATCTGTCAAGAAGGATAGAGGTTCTAGCATTCATTAAACGGAGAAAAACAGAACTCAAAATAACATCCATCACATCCCTAATGACATTTGAGAAAGAAACATTTTTTTTTATGATAATGCTCCTTAATCCCTATGTGGTTGGATGCCCAGCTCATGAAGTCATAACACCTAAGTCAATTACACTTAAAAGCCTGTGACAGTTTCAGTCTCAAGGTGTGTCAGGTTCCAAGGCATAATGGAACAGGTGATAAGCTCCCGTAGTCCATGTGGAGGAACATCGAAGTTTTGAGCAAATTAAGATTATGATTATCCGATTTATGACTTGTCGTTTTTCACTCATTTACACAAAAACTGAGAGACTGAGTAAGAGAAACATAGGTGAGTGAGAAGAAAGCACTCGCTCTCAAAATAATACTGTCCAGTATCCTAGAGATAAATACTGTGACCCAAGAACAAAAATAAAAGACTCTAGATATACATTCTATCTTATTCTTAGTATTAAATCATGGTACATGTTGCTTCAACTAGTATTTCTAAATTACCTCTTTTCTCTGTTTTTCCAAGCACCTTATCTTTTGTTCAAGAGAATTTGTCAAGTTATTTCTGCTTGATGATTGATCACACTGAAAAAAAAAAAAAAAGAAAGAAAGAAAAGAAAAAAAAAAAGAGTGAAATAAAATAGTCTATAACATAAGCAGGCGAAATATTGTCCTTCACAAACTCCATGCATTTGACCAGCTCTCCTGTTGTGATTCATAAAAATATCTATTCTAGCAGTATCAACCCTTACACCATAGTCCCTCATCGAGACCTGTTGATGGGTAAGATTTATATTATGTTTCAGATTCCTTTATATGAAGTAATTAACAAAATAATCATCTAATAAATTACAAATGTATCTATACAATGGGCAAATGAGAAATTAGGATTTCATGAGTTTGGATTAAAACCCTTTTCCAAAAAAACCAAAACCAAAACCAAAAAAATGGAAATTAAGAGTATAATTCTTATAGAAATCAGGTAGGTTTTATGGATATATTTTGGGTATTTATATTAAGTAATAAACATTTCTAAAAAGTCATTTCTGTAGATGTGTCCATATCTGAAGAGTGGCCCTGGCAAAAGTCAGAGGAACGATAGAACCATCAAGAGAAAAAGACCAATACATATAACTAAAAGGCAGCAAATTGATTCTAAGACTATAATAAATTATCTACCTCAATGACCTCATACAATTATGTTATAGAAAGGTTGGCATAGATTATCTGGTATTGTGTAATTTTAACCAGCCCTTTGAATAAAGCCAGTAGGTTATAAGTCTAGATAAATAATAAATCATTGGCACAGCAAAAAAGTTAACCACCTTTCTTTTCAGCCTTTTTTTTTTTTTTCCCCGAAGCATTGGGGGTATTTATTTAAAGAAAGCACAAAAGCTCTGGAAACTGTGGGCCATCTGTCTAAATGGACCACCAACAAAGTTCACTTAAGTGCTGTTTTCTCTATACTAACTCAATAGTCTTGTTACCATCTCATCTCTGAGTCACATAAACAATACAACGAATCTGGTGATGAGGATAGTCCTAAGTCTGCTATTCAGTTTTAGGCTCAATAGTTATGGAAATTTACAGATATTCACAAACAATTAAATATTTTCAAAGTGTGTTGGCTTTTGCCAAAAACATTTATAGGAAGTGTTCTTTTACAATCATCATGGGATTTCAAGGACTTTTTTCATTAGAAATGATTCATAAAACTATTCTATTTTTTCTCTACTTATCTATGTCTCACTCAACATTTTAGGTCTAGAGGATAATTTATATCTCTATAGATGCTGTTCTTAGTTTTCTTAGCTTCTTCTTATTCAGACCCATGTACAATTAAGACCACATTCTAAAAGAGATATTCTTCTGTGGGTCAATAAATTCAGAATTATTATACTTGCTTCTGACCTCAAGAAGCTGATTTGGCTGAGTTCCAGAAGTAACATCAAAGCCCAGGTGACAATATGTTGGGTCTTATAATTGGGCTTTCCCTTTTTTAGTAAGTCTAGACTCATTCTGCATCAGAACAGACTGAGTATTAGATGCTGTGAGCCAACTGTATTTAGGGTGTCCTGAGCTCGGCAAAGCAGAGGTGCAGTGAGACCAGATTCCAAACCAGTGGTTCTTAGTACAAGAACACAAAAAAGTCACTGTGGGAGCTTGCTAAACATAGGGCACTGAACACTGTGAACACTGAAACGGAATTTCTGAAAAGGGAGTCATAGCACCTCCATTTCCTTCTTAATAAACTATTTTTTAGAGCAGTTTTAGGTTCACAGCAAAATCTAGTGGAAAGTACAGAGATTTCCCATGTGCCTGCTTCCCCCATACCTACATACACATTATCAACATCTCCCACAAGAGCGGTGCATTTCTTACAATTGAACCTCTACTGACACATCACCCAAATCCATAATTTACATCAGGGTGCATTCTTGGTATGTACATTCTATGAATTTGAATAAATGTATAATGACATTATGGTATCATACAGAATAGTTTCACTGCCCTAAAAATCCTCTGTGCTCAGCCTGTTTATCCCATCTCTATTTTTAATAAATTTCAGAGGCTACAGTGGTTCATACTGAAGTTCAAGTTTCCCCTATTCCAGACCATGCTTGGAGGCACAGATTTGGTGTCCTCAAAAAGTCTCCTCTCTATTTGTGATATAGACAAAAAAACTCTGTGAGCAGGAAATATTTGTATGACCTAGTCTTCTGGGAAACCAGATTAAGAGTAATTAAATAGTGTGCAATTTTTGCCATATATCATTTTCTCTGGAAAGAAATTGTAAAACATTTGGACTTTGATTTTTATTTTATAAATAAGAGTTACTGAATTGCAGATACTAAATCTGCAAGAAAGAAAGAGAGAAAGCACAGTAATAGGAATTGCTTATAAGCCATAAATGTATCACCAGGGGTTTCTCTGGAGATTAATCAACATGTTACCATGGTTCATATGTCTCAGGTATGTATTAAAAATGAAGCAAAAGTCAATCAAACACAAAGTTTTGGGAGAATTTTCCATTTGTATTTGCTTGGTTTTCCAATTGCTAAGGAAGGTATCTGATGCTTCAATGAATAACAAAGATTTTAGTCATTGGTTCTACTAATGACCCACTAACAGAACAGTTATTCCTTGTATAGTGTAATCTGTGCTTAAAGTATCTGGATATTTGCCTCTCATTTACCATAACACCAAAACCAACTTCTAAGATATTCAAATTCTGACACTGCTAAATTAAATACCTAAATAAACAAAAGAGTTCCATTTAGTTTGCTATTATACCTCGGTTATCTCTAAAAAGAACTTTAAGAAAGCATTTTCATTCATTCATTCACTCATTCATTCATTCAGTAAGTGAGTATCTGTTGCAGTAACCAGTAACCCAACAAAAACTGTGGTATTAATTGTACATACATAAATATTTTACTATGGCTACTCTTTTGCTATAATATGTTCTATTTCCAACTACACCAATATTCTTTTTTAAATTTTACATTGAACCAAATTTCTCTAAATCAAGAGCAAAATATGGAGCCCACAGAACTGGGGAGCTGTAAAGACTTTGGACAAGATTTAATCTCAGTTCGTAAAAGAAGAAAGGTAGCTCAGAGGGATCAGAGGAAATGCAATGGTCACCCAGATACTTTTTCTTTGTTAAATAACATTGATCAAAAATACATAGCAGATATTATCTAAATAAAGTGAACTAGCCATTTCTACTCTTATTCATCATTGCATAATTAACCATGAGAAGTGCAATTGATGCTAGATATGGTCAATTCATCCCCTAGAAATGTGTTCTTACCTCTGCATGCTCCGTAGAACCTTCTGCAGCACTCATTCTAGTTGTGCCCTGCACAAAATGTGCCATGGAAGCTGTTTTTCCTGGAGTCTTGGAAGACAGAAAGATAAAGAGAAAGAAAAGGTCTCCTGCGGTATCTTTTAAAGTGAGATCAAATATATAAAATTTTAAAAAGACCACACAGTTAACTCATGATAGAAAATAACAGCAATAGTTTTTCATTACAAATGAACAGAAGTGACTCCGTATATGATTTACACAGAATAAGGTCATAAGCACAGCATCTGTGATTTTAACTTTTCTTCTGTTCCAGATAGGGATTTCCCAGGATGTCTCAAGGAGGCAGGCTGTGACTAAGACGGACCTATTAGCCTTGCCTATGGTAAGTAAATAGTCATTCTTCCTTTACTGGCAGTTTCTCCCACTGGAGGAGGAAGTTACCACAGAAAGCCTGGGCAAACCAAGTCTTTCCTCAGTAGCCAAACTGCCATAACTTCATTGTATTTCCCAGAGAATTAAGTAACTGTTGACTTCCGACAATCGGTTACTTGCTTCCCTAAAGGCAAGATTTTCTGGCAATGCCTTCTAACTGTGAGGTGAGCCGTGTAGAACTTATTGAATCATACACAGTTCTGTAAGTTCTACAATTCCTATGGAACTAAAAGAGTAAATTCATTACAACAAAAACGGGCATTGTTTGCAAAGCTTATCCTTTATATTGGTAGAAAGTTTAAACTCAGTTCTCAAGTTTAAGACTCTGTTTTCCATAGGTCAAGTCCAGATTTTCTCCATGATTCATTTGCAGCTCAATGTTTTTTTTGTTTTGTTTTGTTTTTTGTTGTTGTTGTTGTTGTTTTTCACTAACATTTTAGTGTTAACTAGTTGACTCATCATTTTACAGGGCATTGAGGTAATGGAATACTGGGTCGTGCAGATAAAAGCGTGAAAAGATGGATGATTGGAGCTATACAAATGGGTCATGATAGAGCACAAGACTTCATTCTGGACTTGGAGGAGAGGGAGCAAAAAAGAGCCAAGAATACAGAAAGCAAAGAATGTGTTGCTGAAGGAAGAGAAGAAAGAATTTACAGTCAATTTACATTTACATTTTACATTTTAATTACATTTACATTTTAATTACATTTACATATACTGAATTTACATTTTTCTTTACACCTTCCATGAGATAGTCCCTTATATGTGGGATAAATCCTAAAACTCCTGAAATTCAAACTCTTTAAAAGAGAATAATGGGTGCCCAAGATTTGGCTGTCCCTTTTCTCTTTCATATCTTCTACCACTTCCCAACTCTTCCTGTGCTCCAGCCATCCTGAATCCCCTTCATTTCCTGAAAAAAAGCCATGTGTCTAATACATGCTGCTTTCTCTGCCCAGAACATTCCCACCTCTGGGCCCCTTCCAACCAGCTGACCTGGAAAACCTGGCTAATACTTCTCTTGCCCATGACCTTATTTGACCTCCTTTTACCAACCAAGCAGAGCCCTTACTTAGTATTTATAATAGTTTATTTACATATTTGCACGGTCACCTCTGTACCTACAGCACTGTGACACATAGCAGGTGTTCAACACGTTCGGCTGAATGAATAAATTGATATATACCTACATGCCAAATTTATAGATTTTTTTTGCTGTGCGTGTGTATGTGTACATGGTTTTGTTTTCTGCTGGGTTCTTGGTCTGTCTTGGGGGTACACTCGAGTGAAATGGAGTGATGTTTCCTTCAGGCAATATCCAAAAATGCAGGTGGGAATCAAATTGTTCAGATTTCTAGGGCGCCTGGGTGGCTCAGTCGGTTGAGCGTCTGCCTTCGGCTCAGGTCGTGGTCCCAGGGTCCTGGGATCGAGTCCCGCGTCGGGCTCCCTGCTCTGCGGGGAGCCTGCTTCTCCCTCTCCCACTCCCCCTGCTTGTGTTCCCTCTCTCACTGTGTCTCTCTCTGTCAAATAAATAAATAAAATCTTTAAAAAAAAAAAATTGTTCAGATTTCTAAAAGAAGAGTTATGACTTACATATGATCTGATTTTAGGGGCTATAAGCGGAGATTTCTGGAGACTGACACTTCGTTAACACTAAAACCTGCTCATCAAAAAAGAAAAAACAAACTATAGCATGAAAATATTTTCTTCCTAGTCTCCTCCCCCACAACACAGTTACATGTATATTGTTCAAGGTTCCCTTCAGCCTTATCTGTGTATTTGGTAATCATAAACCCAGTGGATGTGGTAACATTAACCTAGAGGAGAGGTTGGAAGAACATTTCTTGCCAGAAATTGCTGTCCTTGGCCTTGGTGGCTTTTGGGTCTCCTCTGTACAGCTATCCCGACGCACCCTCATTCTTGCAGCACAGCCTGGTGTGGTGGCTTCTATGGAATGGAAATCCTCTATTTTTGCATTTTTCATTACAATTCCTTTGCCTCTTCTGCTATGCAGTTTAACAGCAAATAGATTTTCCATTAGCTCCAGAGATCCGTGTGGTAATTTATGAATTAACAACAATTCTTCTGGAGAACCCCAAGTTTGGTTTGAGAAAAAAGGCACTTACATTAGGACAGCCTGAGAAATAAGCGGATATTTTCTGTTATACATGCCCTCTTTACCTCATCTCCAGCCTTCTCACATGAGCCATGTTCGAGTCTGGCTTGTAGTCAAACTTTGTTTCGTGACAAGTCTTACTAGCTGCTATAACCCTCAGAGGAGAAGACATGTCACTCCATGTTTCCAAGAGGATTCTGAAATGTCCTCATTTCTCAAGTGACTAAAATATTACACAGAGGAAAATAATGAACAAAGAGAGATATGGTGAAGAAAAAGGACCAAGGAAATACCAGTCACTCTCATTTAAGTTGATGATAATTCTCTCAAAACTAGTCTAAGACAGATGGTCACATTTCCATAAATGCTTGGAGGCGTTCTTTGTCAGGTAAAATAAACATGGTGGGGTTTTGTTTGTTTGTTTGTTTGTTTGTTTTTACTATCCTTTTAGAATGAGGGTTGACATCATACTTTGCTTCCTGAAACTGCATGAATTTTTAGGTAAGTGAGCTATCCAGGCAGGACTGAGAACATCGACTGGGGATGCAAAGGTCTGACTGGAGTCAGCTCATCTGGATTCATAACTTGGCTCTACCATTCACTGCTTGTGACTTTGTGCACGATCCCTAAGGCCTCTGAGGCTCAAGTTCCACATTTGTTGTTTTTTGTTTTTTAATTTTTTTTTAAATTTTAATTTGGATCAAATTTTAATTTTTTAATTTTTTTAAGGATTTTATTTATTTATTTGTCAGAGAGAGAGAGAGAGAGACAGAGCACAAGCAGAGGGATAAGCAGGCTCCTCACTGAGCAAGGAGCCCAATGCAGGACTCAATTCCAGGACTCTGGGATCACGACCTGAGCCAAAGACAGACACTTAACCACCCAGGCATCTCTCAACTTCCACATTTGTAAAATAAGAATAGTAACAGTGTCCTCCTCCAGGGGCACAATGGTGTCCTCCTTGCTATCTATGATAATACATATAAAAGCTTAGATATTAATAATAATATGACCTTAAAGACACGGATATTGATCAAATTATTTGTGCTACAAATGATACGAAAAAAGGAAAGGGCTATCAGTCATTTAGGTTTCATACTTGGCACTGAATGGATGCCAAAGGAAAATAAGCTAAGGTCCCTGCTTCTAATGAAATTACTGTATACACACATACACGTGTGCACCCACACAGCTGCCTATGAGGATCCAGAGGATAGAGAGCTCATTCTCAGCCTTAATTGTTATGGAAGGAGCCCCACTTTCTGCTGGGCCTTGAAGGGTGGATTGGATTTTGAGAGGTGGTGAAATCTGAGGTATATTGCTGTAATGAGAGCAACGTAAACAGAACGGAGGTGGACAAGCCTAAGTATGAAGGATTCTAACAAGCCCAATGTAACTAAAGTAGAGCTCATCTAAAGTTGATTTGGATCAAATTGTGAAAGGCTGTACATTTCACATGAAGAAATTTTGACTTTATTGCGTAGGCTATGGAGCCACTGAAGACCCTTGAGAAAAGGAATTTTACATGATCAAAGTATCTTTTTCACTAAAAAGAAACCTGGATATATGCATTATGTACCAAATGAGCGAGGTTGACAACTGCAATACCACTTAATAGATATCATCAAAAATAATATTTGAAATATTTAAAGGCTTGTGGTAATCCAAATATTTAACAGTCAGTTTGTCTACGGCGCTCAGAACGAACCAGTCACACTCTGATATTGGTCACACACTTGTCATTTCTATTTGGATGCACCTCCTTCTCCACTTGTATAAAACCTATTTCCTGATCTTCCCCATAAAACTTGTCTTCCCCATCACAGTCAATGGCAACTTTCATGCTCTATATTACAAATCTTGGAGTGATATATTTGGTTCCTCTTTCTCTCACAACCTATATCCAATTTATCTGAACATTTTGTAGGCATTTTGAAAGTATACCGGAAAGGAGAGCGGCACATTGGCCCAAGAGCCTAGAGGCTTCCTAATTCAATGAGAGAGTGGCAAGGTGAAATAAACATACCTTTTGATAACATTTTCAAAATGGGAACTTTAGTGTTTGTATCCTGATTTTATTCACTTGCAAATTTTTAGAGAACGTCCAGTCGTGGCTGAAATCTGTCTCTGTGTCATATCCTGCTTCCATATTTACTAGTTATGTGACCTTGGGCAAAGTGTTTAGCAGCTTTGGACTGATCAAGCCACACTCATCCCTTAGGTGCAATAACTTAACAGCCTCTGTGTTTCCGCTCTTGCTCCACCCCCCGCCATCTATTATCATAATAGGAGCTATTGGGAGTCTTTAAAAATATGTCATTTCATGACACCCCTCTGCACAAAACCTTTCAGTGACTCCTCATCTCACTCAGAGTGAAAGTAGAACTCCACAGAGTAACCCACAAGGCTCTTGGCTGTCCTTCTCTGAGTTCTTTCTTACTCTTCTTCCCTCTGCTCACTCTGCTCTGTGTCCTGTCCACATTGCTGCTCCATGAACCTGGCATGCACGTTCCTTGTTCTCACTGCTGAGAACTATCTTTCCCCTAGATATCCACACGGCACACCCCACCACCTTCAACAGGTGATTGCTTAAA